TTGAAAGCAGAGCTGTGGGAGGGGCCAAGCAGCACCACCCATTAGAGGCTGCCTGCAGAAATCTAGCAGAGCGGGCAGAGACAAGACCAGTCACCCTGCACAAGCAGAACTGAGGGTGTCTTATTACAGGAAGCTCCTGCACAGAGGCAGTTTCACACTGGATTAGGCACAGATCTGAAAGACACACAAAAAGTACTCCAAGATTTAAGTAAGAATACACATAACTCTTGTATTTTGACCATATTTACTTCCCAGGGCTCAGCTTTAAAAGTGGATAGCAAGTGTGAACACTGACTTGTTAACGGATATGGATGAGGCTCTCCCCCACATGTTCAAGGATGCTCTCCAGGAGGCAAAGTGTGAATTAGGAGAACAAAAACTCACCTTGCTTTGGTACAGCAAGGTATGATTTTGTGCTCAGTCTGTTTGCCTGGAAGTATGAGGAGATGATGAAAATGGTGATGCTAAAGTGGATCTTTTTAGTAGCTTTACAGGTCTGCATGAATACATACCTGACATGTCAAAATTCCCAGCAACATTTTCATATTTCTGAAAAGCGCTACCTTTTATCATTTAAAAACTTGAACTTCAGTCCATTGACATTGCCAAAGCTGAGATGATGTCCTCAGTCTGTTGCTGGCAGGAGAAAACTTTTTCTCAGACTGCTCTCTTCCAGTGGTCCGACTGCAACATAACCAAGTTAAGAGTCTGCAGCAGGGACCTGATCTCTGTCAGACATTTGTGAACACAGCCAAGGTCTTTACATGACTATGTTTTCAGAGCCAGCCTCTCAGTTCAGGAAATAAATAGTGAACTTGGATGATACCTCAATAAAGATAGCTCTGTCTTTCTGGACAAAAAAACAGATGAAGGTATTTCCCAGGGGAATACTGTAATCTCTGTGAGCGATAATAAATACCTAGAAGTGTAACCCTGAAACATTACTTAGCAAGCATGCACTTAAACTGAATTCCAGGTATAGCTGCATTGGTTAAGCTTGTAAGTATGTATGTGTCATACCTGGCCTATCCCAGTGAAAGCTGAAAATCACTGTAGTAGGCACTGCTAATAACGTGATTGCCACTTAATTCCAGGCCCCTTGCCATGCTGCTGCCCCGCTGCTTAGTGAATGCAGGAGGTCTCTCATTTAGTGCAGGCGACATTCAGGTATATTCATTTTGCCAATGAATGCAATGCGTTCTTGGTTTGGACATGGCAGAGAGGCAGAGTGGTGATGTCACACTCACCACGTCATCCAATCAGAACACTTTGCATTCATTGATAACATGATGCAAAGTGTTCTCTGAGTGGCGCCCCCTGTGTTCATTAGGAAAAAGGGCAGTCACTGGGCATAGAACTCAGAGGCCAGTTGAGATCACTGTAGTAGCACCACTACAATGATCTCCAGCTGCTAGAGGGATCTACCAAGGTATGACACATGCGTACTTATATGGGTCCAATGTAAAATTATGCATTCCTGGAATTCAACTTTAACATTAAAAATATAGCACTAAATTGGAACCTGAAACATGGAATAATAATGAAATGTAGCAGTTTTTTCAGCATCAGGCTGTGCTTCCACTAATTGTTGAGTTTTAGTATATTCCTCAGCATTTTTCATAAGCACAGTGGTATACTGTAACACAGAACCCCAGCGCACAAAGAGACTCTTTCAGTATAGAAAATTTGCTGCTGTGCACCAGTGTAATACACCAACATACAAAAAATATAAATAAATAAACAGCCATAATCAAACAACTCATTCAGTACGTTACAAATAAAATTGTAGTGAAAATAATCAATTTAAATAAAGTGCCAAAAAATATTATGTTAGTGTCCACAAAAAATATATGCATAAAGTAATTTTATCCCAGAAAAAAACATAGGTATAATGATTTCTCCCCCCCCAAAAAAAACAGTGCTTCCACCATCCACCAGTGTGAAATCAAAATCAGTGGTATGCATGTGCCCTTTTACACGGATATGTGTGGCAGCATAATATGATCATGCATTGCAGTGTTGGCATGCTTGCTACTATAGGAAGACAGGGATTGTAAACCACAAAAGCATTCTAACCAGATGGACGCTTGGACATGAACTGGTTAATACAAGTGACCCGTATATCTATTTTCTGTCCCATTTTTATTTCTATAGCCTGTGTCTCCACTTCATTTCCTGAGGATGGATCTCATCATCTCAATTTTGCCCTTGAAGAAACAGATTAATGCTCTTAGTGTTTAAATATAAGTAAGGTTACAATAAACCATAAAGATACATGCAATGTTTTTGAAGTCAGCTTGGCTTAGCTGTGAAATAATGATATAACATCATATTATGCGCTGGTATTAGGAGCTGTACTCAGTCTGACTTCCTGTGTTTTTTTCAAAGCTCAAAGCCCAAATGATTGGTTCTCCAGATCCTTTACACAGCGAGCACACTTTACAGCTACCCTAGTATCAGGACACAGATGAATTGCAAAGATGACCCTGACCTCTATAAGACCTACATTCCTGTACAGCGATGGAAGCATGTTAATCAGGAAATGATGCTTGTTAGTTACAGTAAATGCATTATTGTGGTAACCAGGACAAAAGCTCTCATGAGCGGAAGTGATTGGATTATGATAGGAAAGATGTTTTATCCATACTTAGTGAATTGTTATGATTTATACAAGTTATGCTAATGTCTAACAGTTCTAGGACTGGACAAGAAAGAGGATATATATATATTTTTTTTATTTTTTTTTTAAACAAAGCATACTTTAATATTTCATAAGGCACAAGTATTGGCTGTGTCTGTAGTTCAAAATCTCAGCATGCATGCACAAAACCTTTGCATCAGTAACTATATAAATGTACTGTATATAGCTTAAATGTGATATTTAGTAGTTAAAGATTAACATATTTGTTTGGTATTTGATTTACTTTGTCATGTTGGAAGTATTTATAAGTTAGCTGAGTTACGTTTATTGTCCTATCACATTGTTTTGCATATGAGAGTGCTGATTCATAGGGTTAAGTAATTGGACTAAAATTATTTAATAGTTGCAGTAAAATAATACAATCAACATTTATATCAAAATTTTAATGTTTATTATAAGATAGCTTCTTAGCTTGTTCACATATTCAGAGAAATATTTATATTTGCTACACAGTTTGGCCTTTATTACTTCATGAATCCTGCTAGGTTGTTGTAGTTTTTTATGTTGCAGATAAATTAGAAGTCTAAGCCTGCGGTCACATCACACCCGATTTTGAAATCGTGCGACTTACAGTGAAGTCGCACAATTTCAAAGTCAGGTGACTTGCCGATTTCAGGTGCGATTTGCAAGACATCTGACACAGATGTCTATGCAAATCGCACCAAAAGTAGTGCATGTAGTACTTTAGAAATCGGTGCGGCTCAGACTAAGTAGGAACCGCACCGATATGACCGATCTAATAGCAGACAATAGGGTGCAACCTGGCACATGATTTGCAAGTCGCATGGAATGCATATCGCATGCCAAGTTGTGATCGAGGTGTAAAGGAATTTTATGGATATTGCTGACATAAATATAGCTTATTTCTTTGGAATAAACTGATGACATCTACAGGTGTTAAGAACATTTATTTCCGTATTGTGCAAAGTTTTCTTTATGTTTTAAAAATATTACAATCTTCTGGATTAACATACTAACACTGAAATGTGTTCACGCAGTAACAGTTATTTAAATGTTATATATGTAATTATGGTTATGTTTTTAATTTTGCCTATAATAAATATTAAATACAAACTGCTTTTCATCCAGTGTGGGATGAAACACTCATGTTTAGGGTTGGCAAGATGTCTTCTGGCAGTCGACAGATCCCTGTCCCATCTGTCAATGTTCTCTACTCCTCATCGCCCCTTGCATTGACATAAACTTAAAAAGTGGACAGAGGCAACCATCAAGGACTACTCTAAAGATCAGTTGGCCTGGGGATAGTCAGACATGACATTTCAAATCCTCAAACTTTTTAAACAAGCATCAGTTTACTGTCTGTCTGACTGTTAGTAGGTCAACATATGGCTACTTAGAGTAACTAATATCCTGGCATCATGTTTCAGTGAAAGTAAAAAATACCCTGGCATCAGAGGTCAGTGATATTAAAGAATATACCCTGGCATCAGAGGTAACAGAGTAATAATAACCCTGTGTCAATGAGTGTAAAATAGTCCCCTTGGTAGTGGTCACTGGAAAAATTCTCAGGTGCTAGTGGTCAGTAGGAGTAGAAAAATGCCCCAACATCAGCGGTCAGTTAGAGGAATGGTGCCCCACCATTGGTTTCAGTGGTAGGAATAGTTTGCCATCATCAGTGTCAATGGGATTTGGAAAGCCACCAGTATTGGTGTTCAGGTCTTACTTACCTTTGAATATGCCCTGCTCTGCTGCTGGTTGATTGATATTATGGCTAAATTTATGCTGGCAAGTTGGAAATCATTTGGCTCCGATAGTGCTCTGCACTCCAGCGCTTGGCTCCCACTGCCACTGTGCATGAGAGAAGGCACTGTATTTGGAGATTCAAGAAGTTACCTCCTGTACTATGATACCAATCTGATCATGTAGATGTGCTTTTTACAACAATCATCACAAATGATCATTATCAAAATAAAGTTAATTCAGAAAATCAATTTGTAACATATAACCAAACATTCCTTTTTCTATGTAAAGAAGGTAGAAGAGATTTTACAATTCTCGTGAGGCATCAATCTGTTGGCCTAGCAGCTAGCAAGGGAAAATATTGGGTGTTTACCTGTAGTGCAAAAGGACAGGTGGATGTCTCACCAGCTTTTCTACTTGCTGAAATATTAGCCTGTCTATGGCCAGCTATTCTACCATCGCATTCTACTTTTATTCCGACTATTGACTACCATTGGCATAAAACTGAAATAAAAGTTTCCAAATGACATATTTTTTACTTATAGGAAAGTTAAATGCAAAGCAAAATTAATATTTTTCTTTTTACCATTTACTATAGCTGCAGAAGGGCCTCCACAAAACATCAATGTTGTTGCTACCTCCCCACAAAGTATTAATATTAGCTGGAGTGGGCCAGCCATCATAACTGGACCAACATCATATCTAATCAACATATCCATGGTAAGTGAAGAATAATTATCATTTATGATTATTTTGTATTATGAAACATATATGTAACATTGGACAGCAATCCTGTTGTATTCTAAGGATGTAGCCCTCAGCTTGGGAGAATGTACAGATCTGTTTCATATTGAGGTACCTTTGCAGGCATGATGGCTATCTATCCTTTTTTGTCTACACAAAAATGATAAAGGATTCTTTATTTTGCTAGATTTTCTCCATAGCTTATATGACACAGAGTAGCATAAAATAGTGAATCTCCAACATGAGGTTGCTATAATAAAGCACAATCTTACCTCTAGAGCAGAAATTTCAAACAACGTCAGGCTGTAAGGTGCACATGCAGGCTATCCTCTCCTCTGCCTGAGCTCAGGGCTAATAACTGGCACTCTATTCTGGCTGCTGTGGGAAGCAGATAAAGACAATCATGTAAGAGGGATAAGGTCAAGTTGTTATATAAAATTAAAGAGTGTACATTCAGATTTTTAAAAATGTTCATTAGTAACAATCTTCCTCATTAAGATTTTCTTATTTTTAATACTCCTGTCCAAAAAAGTAGTTAAGGGTTACTAATTGCAAATCTTCCAACTTTCATGTCAGCATCCAGCACTGGACAGACTAGTGAGGTTCCAACGATTTAATATGCCCCATAATTTACTTGCACATTGCTTCCATTTTCCATTCACCTATTGCACAAGGCAGCCATGCACCTGAAATATCCTACTGTTGGTAACTTGGCACCCAAGTGAAAAAGTCTTCTGGGCCTTGTGAATGTGCAGACTAGCAAATCCTACCTTGACCTTATGTATGCTGAGTGGGAATCTGTTACGTGGTTAGCTTAAAGTGTTGTCTTGTCCTTTTAATTGCTGCAGCTTCTGTTGTTACTGATTACATTATGTGTATTGTAAATTTCAGGTTGCTGAACCATTTCCTGGGCAACATGCTTTTACTTTTTTTCTTTCTGAAGATTTGAACAGAATCAGTGGTTCAAAACATTTGCTGTTTATTTAGCATGTTAAAGAACCCTTAGTTAGGAATAAAACTGGGTATATATGCAGAGTTTTCTTTTTGTTCAAATCCCCACATGCACACAACAGATGTGGATGATGGGATCTCTCCCACTGCACTATTGTATTCTGTCAGCAGAGACTTCCATCTTGTCAGACAGCACAGATCCTTGCTGCAGCCATAGGTTGCACTGGATGATTGAATGTTGGTTTTACAGCAGAACTGTTCAACAGAAGCTGGCCGTTATACTGGCTTCTGTTGAACAGAGATGGAAATACACACATCAAAATTCAGCTGGTTCCTGCTGAACCAGCCACATTTCGATACGTGTATTCCCTACTTTAATGCTACATGGTGATCCACAGGAAGAGTACAGCCAAAAGAGCATTGGCTATACTTCTCCTTTAAAATCGATAAAGTTGCAGAACTAGAAATTGTGAAAGGAATACTTAAAACACACATGTTCCTTAACAATGCATGCAAGGAGCTATGATTCCAAATTTGTGTTAAAGCCACAGAACACCCATATAATACCCATGTAGATAGTTGCCAGAGTACAACTATACATCACTTGTGTTGGTACTGGCAGATTTGCTGCCTATGCATAACGGAAATTATAGTCCCAAACCTTTTTCAAAAATTATGTAATAGGTACATAGTATTCATATTTGTAGCTGCAGAATTCTTTGGAATCATTTGTGAATCTATAGTTCAAACATAATAGTTGTATACTAGAATTCTAGCTGGAGTGAAAGTTCCAATCCAGCCCTACCTCATTAGCAACTAGCTTCAATGACTATATCCTGGCATACAGTATGTCCCAAAAGCAGGATCCCAGTAACTTCCTTAATGATGACAAGGTCATTCGCTCCTCAGCACATTTGTGCCAAAAATGGTACTTCTGGTAAGTAACAACATCCAGGATCTGTAATGCTCCCTGAAACTGGTCCCTCTTTAGACCATTGCCCGCTAGTGTTGATATACATGCAACAAATCATAGACCATGTCTTCAAAGGCAGCAATGAGAATAATGTACTGTGCTGTGCAGTAGGGATGGAGAGAGAAGGAGATCTTGAGAGGATTAGTGTGGCTGTTGGTTAAGTTATACCAATATTGGCTCATACGGGTACCTGCCTGAGGGAATGGTGGAATATAGTGAACCAGCACAAAGACTATTTACACTATGTAAAATAGTAGAATATCTTTGAGATAACATGATGCTTTAGGAGACAGAGTGCATGGTAGTGATATTTGATGACTTGATGGGTCTGTATTTGATGTTGTGGCTAGTAAGCAAGTGGCGCAGTTAAAAAAAAAAAAATATATATATATATAGTTTTTCAGACAGTAGATATGCACAGTACCTCCTATATTCCAAACACTGCTGTGATCAATTGCAGCTGTTATTGGTGTATTTCTTCAGAATATTTTATCAGATGAAGCAGCTACATATTCTCTTTTTGTCAATCACTTTATGGGGAATACAGCCCTGATTGCCCTTCCCAGCCAATGTGTGTAAGGCCATCATCTTGTTTGCCATTCCATCTGCCCTGTACATAGCACAGAATAAGATAACCATAGGACTATATTCCACCTAAAGAAACGTTTAGAGGCCTAATGATTCTGAAACCATATGGAATAATTAGGCTCAGATAAAAGTAAACAAGTTGACTTTGTGCACAGTTCTGCTCAGTTGTAGTCTTTATCTATTTAGGGATAGGGTTGCAACCTCATCCCTTTAAAGCCAAACATGTAATAATTACACAGGTTCTGAGGCTAATTTAATGCAGGTAAGGCACTAAGTTTCATTACCACCTTAATCAGCAACAGAATCTGTGTAATAAATATGTGTTTGGTTTTTAAGTGAAGAGGTGGCAACCCTATTTAGGGACCTTTTACACTGATCCATTTTAATGCATATGTCCTGCATGATGCTGCAACTTTGATGTGCTTTTCAAAAGCACACTAAAAATGCATCTTCCATTGAATTCTATATAGAAAATACACAAAAACGCATTAAAATGCATACAAAATGCCCCTGCATTGGATTTTTGATGTATTTTTTGTCACATTTCCAGGTTTCACAGGTGCATGATTGGAGTCAGGGGTACAGAAAACATGGCAAAAATGCATGTGCATTACGCATTTTTAAAAAATAATTTCAACGGAGCAGTGTGAAAGCCGCCTTATCCTTAGCAGCTTACTGATCAGTTTCACAATTTGCCCTGGGCTTTTCTTCAATCATGCTTTACACATTATGATACTTTAGTTTTCAGAGTGCTCTGAAGATAATAGGAAATATATACAATTACTAACATTTGTTTTAGCTCATGTACACTTTGACTTTTTAAAGTGCAATTTAGCTGTGCTAGCTGAAATGGCAGTGGTTTCAAAGAACACCTGACTAGCATTAATGGAGCGAAAGTGGGTAATGTAAGTGGAAATTGAAGAAAGACTTAAAGTGAAGCTGGGAAGAAGTGCAGATATGTTAGAGGTCAACTAGTGGCCACATATAGGTCATTAATATCGGGGACATCCTGTTAAAGGGTGCACCTGTGAGGGACCCAAACTATTATTCTGCACATGGGCTCTTTGCAGTCTCTGTTCACCATAACATTATGCAGTGCAGGAAGATTAGTCGTTCTTTGGAAAGACGTTCAGTCTGGCATCCTGCGAAAGGTCATTATATTGTATCTTTGGCACTGGCCTGATAAGCTGTACAATTTTCTTGGGTAAATTGCCTAATAAAGAAAGTATTGATTTAGCAGATAACTGAGTTAACTATGCATTGTCTTCTATTTCTTTTAATTGGTTACCATATGATTAATATGACTACTAAAACATTTCTGACAGAGGAAGGGATACCGTTAAACCTTTGTGCTGCTCAAGAGTCTTAAGATAAGAGCAGATTCTAATTAAAACTAAACAGTTGGAGATGAAGCAGATAAAGCAGCAGACGTGAAATCTGAGAACTGGAACTACTAAAATGAAATTACAACTACATTTTCCAAAATTTCATCCATGAGAGAAAGGGTTAGATTCTCTAATATAACAGAGAGGCTTTACCACCCTTCCCCTTTCTTTAAAGGGACAGTATACATGTTAAAAATAATGATTTGGATAGAGTTCCTATAAAAATTGAAACCAGACTTTATCCAGTCATGCAGACTGGGTGGTCAAGAAAGGAGGTTCAAATGTGTGGCCCTCCTTTCCTAAACAATACCAGCACACATGCTTGTCAACATTGGGAGGTACCTTGCAAGGGGGGAAGCAAAGCCTGCATGTTGAGGGGACAGGGGGGCTCTTTTAAGTAGCAACAGGATTTGGGGGGTGGGGAATTCTAGGAATCTTGAAGCCCTCTCTATAATAATATTGCCTTGTCTGAAGTCTCTAAAGGGGTGCATGTAAGGCGTAGAAAAAAAACAAGGCTTATTACTAGGGGACTAGAGAAGTTAGAGAAGATTCAGTATAGAGTTATAATGACCGGAGTGCTGTCACAAGGAAGCTTATGACTACTTTATTTTGTGTCACTTGGCCCCTTCTCTAGTGACCGGTTTCCCACATACTGGGATCGACCTCATGAAGTACCTAGGGACCTAGCCTGGAGTCACAGAGAGAGATGTAGAGAGGCCCTCGGGAGGAGAACAAGCATGGAGTTTCCAATATTGATATAATAATATACAGAACATTGTCACTGAGAGTGAGGTGACAGGGCTGCTAAGTTGGTATAGACTGGTACATGCTCTGCGATATCGGCTCAGACATGCCAATAGTGTAAGAAGTATGGCTATGTATTACAAGGAGTTAAAGTGGAGCTCCACCCAAAAGGGGAAGTTCTGCTTTAAGCCTTTGTCCCCCACTCCCCATTAAGGATTGGCACCTTTGGGTAAGCGGGGGGAGCGGTACCCTAATTTGACAATCGGCTAGGCGATCATAAGTTGAAGTTGTTCCCCCCTCCTCTCCCAGTAGTCTTCTGGGACACGTGACAGGTC